AGGGGACAATGTCCACAGAGTGTCCTTGTTGGGACATATATCCCCACCACAGTGCGAGTGAACTCCACTCGCGATTGTGGCTAGCACTCCTCGAAGAGGATTGCCTTGTCAAAACTTTTAATTTCTATTTTTACCTTTTTAGTTTGATAATTCACAAGTATGTCTTTAGTTATAATTAATCATTCACTAATTGTATATAACCTCTTATTAATTACGCATTTCCTCACTTCTTCAAAACCTTTAGTTATAGTATTATTTTTATTATTTAATTATGTTATTTAATAGAACATTTGAAAATTACCTTTAATTTATCTTCACATAATATTTAAAATTCTAGAAAAATTAAAAATAATAAAAGTTCGTCATGCTTATGCCTTACACCTATGAGTTTCACCTCTTATGGGGGACTACTCGTTACTTTGCATATTATTAGCCTTTTAAAAATATGATAATAATATGAAAAATAATTTGTATTTATTATAGTTGTAATAGTATTGATGGTATAATGATTTTAATAGTACTTTTTAAATTAATAATTTACATCGTAATTTAGTAATTAATTTAGTAAATTATTTACTAATAGTGTAATAAACGGATTATTAAATTAAAATATAGTTACTAAAAGTATTATAATTATGTCATGTATCATATTATTATATTTAAAAGAGAAGAAATTTTTTAATATATCATAATTAATTTTAATAAATTAAGAATAAATTATAATAGTTATTCAAACTATACTAATTAATCATACAATTCTTTATACATAGTTTTATCATACAATTTATTCATTTTAACAAAATTGTAATTGTTCAGAATTTATTGCTATATAAGTCATTTCATCAACCAAAAAAAGAAAAAGGAAAAACATAAAACAAAACAGGTAAGCTCTCATGCAAAACACGTGCGCTATACTAGTTTTATAAAAAGTAACAAAAATAGTCTTCAATCATACAAGTATCAATCGTGGAGGCCTCATTCATGAAAGTATCTCAATAATTTTGGCTGTATTTTCACGTATACTGTCTTGCAATTATAGACCATAATGCTTTTATAAGCTTTTCTAAACTCTCAAATTCAATGAATGCAGCTGATACATATTGGGCGTGAATTCACCTGTTCGTAGATAAATCAAAGTCAAAACGGAAGCTTTCAAGGCCCTGGAGCCATATGAGAACTAGGAAACATAAAATGTCAGTCTCAGCCATTATCGAGATACAATTGTCAGGATGAAAAGAAATACAAGTTAGATCACCCTGGCATAGTAGCTTTTATCAAAACATTCTGAACCTCCTCAATTCAGACTCATGGAGATCTCAACATTGTAATTTTTGACTAAGAAAACAACAAGAACTCATCACAACACAAGAATAAAAACTTATTCACTGAAGAATATCACAACTATTCAGATCCCTCAACATTTGCTGTAGTTTCGATGGTCTTTGAGTTTTCTAAAGCGGCAACTCTTGCTGTCAGAGCTTCATAACGCCCCTCGAGAGAGTCATAGCTATCTTTAACCTGGGAAGAGGAAAAGGGAAATTGGATTACTTGAAGCAAGATCAACTGGTATTTCAATGAGTAAAAAAATAATTATGCTGAATTATGAAAAAGAAAATTCAACGAATGGAAGTTAATTCAGATAATTGCGTAAGTATCACACTCTAAACCTTATATCCATAAGGGTAAATTGCAATTACTCCTCATCTATAGACAGTGGCAAAAGTAAATAGACTTATCCAAATGCAGATCATCTATGTAGAATTCGTATTATCCAAGGAGACACTGCCTTCGGCAAAAAAAATTGAAGTGTGGCATCACATCATTAGTCTATTTTTGCAACATATACATTTGTCATGGTTAGCAGCTCAACCTTAACAGCAGATTTGAGCCATGATACGCAAAAGGGGATTGCATTAGCCCAAAGCCATTTCATTCTTTACGAAGAACAGCAAAAGCAGAAAGCAAGATAACAAGCACTATCAGATAACACAACAATAAACTATTTAAGTTGATATCTAAAATTGAAACAATACAAACATCTGCTAAGATGTACTACTAATCTGTAACTGAATCCTTATAGAGAGCAAGAATGACAAAGGCCACTTTTTGCTTTATAGAAGCAACTTTGGTGCTTATGCATTATCTCTTGTTTCCACGCTTCACTATATCATGGTTGTAGTGAGGCTAAGGCTTCAGAAATCAGAATAAAAAAAGAGGTCAATCAAGTTTTTAACAGAAGTCAAGGATCCGGCACTGGATTTGGATAGTAAACTTTGAGCTAAATGTGCCTAATTGGGTTCAGATTTTGGATCATGGATATTAAACTTTGAGAAGAGCTTATAGCTGTATGCAGTGTTTTAAAAATATACTGATTTTATCGATTTATAGCCGATATATAGGGTTTGCGCCATGACCGATGCGATTTCTGCAAAAATTTATCGCATATTATTTTTGGCTGATTTGTCCTGATATGTCAGTGTAAATGCAATAAAATGACTGATTTCTCAAGAGTTAAAAATCTCCCTATTCTTTACAATTGACATTCTAAGTGAACTGGTTTCCGTTTGGAGACAAAAACCCTCTTTTCTCCAAAACCCACCTGCATCCACTAATCGTGTAACCCTGATTTTCTCTGCCTCCACCGTTCTCTCCCCCAAATCACTCGCAAATTCCTCACCCGATGAACTTTGTCAACAACGTCTCTCGAAGACCCTCTCTCGATATTTCATTAAATGTGCTTAAATTATATTTTAGGACATTATATTATATATGTTCACCATCCAATATGACTCTGATTTTTACTAGTTATCCTCGATATGTCCCCCATAACCAAGATCCCATATGAATTTTGCCTGTCTGATATATTTCCAATAGCCGATATTTGAAACCTTGGCTGTACCGTGAGGGTTCAGTGGGCACAGGTCGTCCAGGACAAAACTCAGATACTCAAAATTGTATCCAAATATCCATGCAACACTGCTGAATATGGTTGCATTAGATTGCATTTAAAAGACACATGACAACCTCTATTAGGCAAAAAGTAGATATACATGTTCTAAAAAATAATTTAGATTAAAAAAAGAAAATACTTTAAGCCTATAACTAAGAAACAATCCTCAATAAAGATGAAGAATAATCAAACACTTTCAATCATACTACAAAATCACAAACTGAGATAAAAACAAACACATAAAGACCTTCATGCAGCTTCGGATGGCTCAGATTAGGTTTGGTTCAGGTTTTTAGCAGGTTTGGACCCAACCAAATCTTAAGTCAGCTTGGTAGTTTTGAACTGAAGACCAAGACGATTCACAAGCTCTAACTAATCCTGCACAATGAGGGCATTAGGTTGGTTGGTTTTGGTTTGAACCAAATCCTAGTTGTACCCTTAATATCCTAACAAAAAGATATGGTTGAAAAAAAAGGATTAAGATATATGCACCATTAAGAAAATTTGAGCTAACATTATAACAGTACGAGAATATACAAGCCGACATCTTTTTTTTTCAATTAGAATAAAAAGATGTTAACAGTGTTTTCAAACATCTGGACAATTTTAATAACTACAACAAACGATGTCTCATGGAGAACTATGCCAACTCAAGCACAACCAAATTTTAAGTCTGCTTGGTAGTTTTGAACTGAAGACCAAGACAATTCAAAAGCTCTACCTATTCCTGCATGATGAGGGCATTAGCTTATTAGGCTTTGGGTTGAGCCAAACCCAAGTTTTACCCTTAATATCCTAACAAAAAATATGATTAACAAAAATGAAAAGGATTAAGATATGCAACAATGAGAAATTTTTAGCTCGCATTATAACAGTACAAGACAAGAATATACAGGTCAACATTTGTTTTTTCAATTAGAATAAAAAATTGTTAAACATGTTTTTCAAACATCTGGACAATTTTAATAAATAGAACAAATGACGACCCATGAATAACTATGACAAGTTGCAAAACTTCATGAAAACTTTAATCTAAAGTTTGACAAGTGACAATTGTCAAAAGAGTTTCTAATTAACTTATTAAAATTTGAAAAAAAATTGATGTTTTAAGAAGTGATCTAGGAGCCCGTCTAAGCCTTAGTGGTATCTAAGCCGCCCGCCTAGGTCTTGAGAGTGTCTGGGGACCGTGGGCCACTTACATGGACTGCACCTATTACATCTTGATCACGATTTCCTCAGTTGCTACCTCCACGTCCTTTGACCTCCTCCGACCTCCTCTACTAACTAAAAGCACCTCGTCTATCTCCTTCAACCTTTAGCAAAACCTCTTCTCCCACCACTTAAAACAAAAAAAATGAAATTATCCTAAGGTCGAGGCATCCGCATAGGCACTAGGCAGCAATCTGGCACCTAGGTGAGCCTAGCGCTAACATTAGGAAAAAAATACATGCATCCATGCATGCATACATAAATACATATTCTCCACTCTCTAGTATATGGTTCCAAAATTCTGATATATGTGATCTAAATCAACCAAATCTATTTATACCATTGTTTGGAAAAGCTCTCACACTGGTGCAAATACCAAGATTCAACACCTTGGTTCTAGGTAGTAATGTTAGGGAAAATTATTGAATATCCCCCTAAGTTATATAGGGATGACGCAAATTACTTGGAAGTTTTTAAAACAAACACTTTATGCCCCCTCTTTTATTTTTTTCGTCAAACAAGGTTACATGGTTATCATGCGACCCATTTAACGGCAAAATACCTCATACTAATTTCTTCCCTTAAGAAAAGAGATTGGGGCATTTTTTTCATTAAGTGGGTCACATGATACCCATGTGTTCCTGTTTGATGGGGGAAAAAAATCAAAAGGAGGGGTTTAGTTTTAAAACTTAAGGGGAGTATTCTGACAATCTTAGGGATTTTTGCTGTATTTTCCCTTAAAATTATCTTACTATCAAGAGTGGGCTAAATGCAACCTTTCAAAGTCCATAAAATATAACCATCACGCATAGCATAGAAGTTATATAGCCACCGACCGTTGCACTTGGTGGCATTAATGTAAGCATCAGTTTCAAGGAACAAAAATTCTTGTTAACTTAATATCAAGAAGGCGACACCAATGTAATAGATAATGTGTAAGAGAGCCTGCAACATGTATTATATAAAGTTTCATTTAATTAAACGCTATAAACATTTTTAGCAGTGAGCTATACCATGCAAGCTCCTATATCTGAACTTGGAGCAAACAAAGAAAGAGTAAGCTGTAACAATAGCACCATGGAGTCAGTAAATTATTACGATTACTAATTTTGATTAGTTATGCCAAATTATCTTACTATCAAGAGTGGGCTAAATGCAACCTTTCAAAGTCCATAAAATATAACCATCACGCATAGCATAGAAGTTATATAGCCACCGACCGTTGCACTTGGTGGCATTAATGTAAGCATCAGTTTCAAGGAACAAAAATTCTTGTTAACTTAATATCAAGAAGGCGACACCAATGTAATAGATAATGTGTAAGAGAGCCTGCAACAGGTATTATATAAAGTTTCATTTAATTAAACGCTATAAACATTTTTAGCAGTGAGCTATACCATGCAAGCTCCTATATCTGAACTTGGAGCAAACAAAGAAAGAGTAAGCTGTAACAATAGCACCATGGAGTCAGTAAATTATTACGATTACTAATTTTGATTAGTTATGCCACATTTGTTGATGGTGAGCATTGTACTAGTGCATGAGTTCGGTGAAAATTAAAGTTAACCGGAGAAATGATTGTTAGTTTTTGTTTTTATTTTTATTGAGATTTAATAAAAATGAAGAAGATAGGTCGAATAGCTTCATGACTGCGTTCACAATAGATAGAATTCACATCTTAATCCATAAACAAGCACTTCCAAACAAACATTAAACAAAATATGAAATTTTTAATTCATCAACTAAGGGGTTGTTCGGCTGAGAAATAAGGAGTTTGGATAAATGATAAAATCATTTTTCAATATAATCCTAAACTTTCCTGCTTTCTTTGTTTTCTGTTTGTTTATACAAAAAATTGGATGTAAAGTTAGTTGTGGGGTCCACTCTTCACTTTCTCCCCAAAATCCTTGTGAAGAGAAAATTTAAGATAAGAAATTTTGCCAATATGACACCAAATCCCAACTATTTTTTTAGCAATCTTTTCCTGGAAACAACAAAATGCGTAAGATTTTGAGGCTGCAAAGTATTAACGTGGTACCCACAGTTTCCATATATTATTGCAAAATCCATAGAAACAAACAACCCTAAAGAAAAAATAACTTAATGATATATGTATTTGTACATTAAAGAGTCCCAACTGAAATATAATTAAATTATAATTTTAAATAACTAAGATGTCGATTGGTAACAGGCTAAGTCAGGAGTCAAGGAAAATTAACATTTCCTTAACTTGCCGAACACAAAACATTACACAGGATGTTAACTGAGTCAACACCTCCTAGTTTGAAAAACACATAAAAATTAGAAGATCGTTAGAGGGCTCAAATAAGCTAACTCCTAAAATTGAGGATTGAGGAGT